CAAAAAACAGTCTTATGTCAATGTTTAAGCTTATTGTAAGATTACAATGACATTATTCATACCTTAGACTATGGAAAGTAAAGGACATGTTTTGTTGACATATATAAATCAGACGTAATATGTATATGAAGCATTTCGACGTCGAAAACATAAACATGTCTTTGTTTAACTATTGCGTGACGTCTTAAGCCAAAAGAGATAGCATTACGTAGGTCTGTGTCAAACACGGGAATCAAAAATACTTAACGTCATCTTAAATGCCGACTGTGTCCATTTCGCAGTACATGAGGTGCATGATACGGTTGTCAAAGGGAAGTACATCAAATGTCAAAACAAATATTTTTTCCAGATGTTTTATTGAATTATTCGCATGTATTGTAATAAAATGGACAAAAATATTGACAGTGAGAACAATTAAGTATTAATAAAAATTCGTCGCTGCAGCATTACGGGATGTGGCATTTGAAAAAGCGAAGATCGACTGAATGTAACATTGTACAGGCACGTGTTATTTTTCTGTCTTTAAATCACACAAAAGCCCAAATATCTACTGTAATTAGACATATTTAAGGAGTTTATTCATAAATCTTGCCAAATTTTGCTTTGGTTTCTTCAGATTGCCTGTTTGTTTGTATATTTTGATGATTGTTGTTAACGATTATTTTGAGATAGTATTGTTCTTGGTAGCGTATATATTATCGATATTCTGTTATTAAAATAATTCACTACGAGGTTTTTATTACTTTATTGTTATAATTTTTCTTTTTCAAGTTTACCTACAAGACAAAAAAGAAAATAGAATGGTTGGAAATCATAGATTGAATCAAAGACCATCTTCATTTATTCCCTTCATTTTGAAGAGTCAAGTTTTAACATAACTTTGAATGTAACTAAATTACATTATAATGCAATTCCATTATTAGGTTTATTCGTAAATAATTTTATATTTAATTTAGATTAAACACGACTCATTTACTAGGCATTCTCAGTTCCTGAAAACAAAATTATCCGCTCGTTTCCGATTTTTTCCCACTGACAACTCTAACTACTAAAAATTCTTATTTTATAAAACCAGCAATACAAAGACCATGTTGGTCTAACGTTGCCGGGTGAAGGCAAACACCAACATATAGACAGCCTATTTGTCTTGCCTTGCCTTGCCTTCGTTCGATGTCACTCGCCTAGCTGACCGAGTGAAGGCGAGCGCTAACGTGTATAGAGCTCGTTTGACGTGGCTTGTCACAACTCGCAGTCGCTCGTGACTACTTGTCTCACTTCGGAGAAGTGTCGATTTTTCTACACAAATCAAAGGCGCTCGGTCAATAGTAGTCAATTGACGTTGTACAATCTGACATTTGCATGCTATTTAATATACGCGAAACATGTTTATACTAACACTGTCTCTTGTTACATCTCCTGTTATAACATGTTTTAAGCAAATAAACGTATGACAATAATATTATTATTGATAATATTACTACTTTCATTTATTTCCAAAATTAAATGGAAGTATTAAAGATTCACTTAAATCAGTCACTGATATTAATTCCATACCAATGCATAAATACAAAAAAGGCTTACACTATGAAAATATGAATCTTGAGGTTGGAAATGTATAGGATTTATATTTCAAAGTTTTCTCTTTTTTATATACCTCAAATTACAAATATTATATTTTTCTGTGCAAATTCGTATGTATTTTATATATATTTAAGTATTTGTAAATGCAAAACAATAAATTTAAAATTTCATGTGACACTTCCGGATATTCTCATAATAACCTAAAATATTCCCAAATGGAATATTGATCTACTTTAATGAAATGTTTGCTTGTCGATAATGATTTATCGATAGATTATGGTACGACACTAAAGAAATCCGCCATTTGTTCGTTCAATTTTTGTTTAGGTATGCACGTTCATTCCGTAGTTAGGGCAGCTCCTTTCTTTTATTTTTTTTTCCATCTTCCAAGATTCATACTCGTACCATGACAAACGTGTTAACCAAGTAATTTATATTTAAATTAAATTGTCTGAATATAAATTATATGACTGCTAAGAAAAGGAAAACTATGTAATAATCAAACCTTTTTTTTTTCTTTTTTTTTTGCGACTCGGCAAAATGACTGCGCCGCGCCTGATGGAAAGTGCGAATACAGTCCAGACATGAGAGTAAAGGATGGAAAACACAAATATCTTCACTCCGTCACTATCATTTTGCCGGTCTGGCCAAATGCTTCTTCACACTACGTTTGAAGGACCCGATGTTATAGAGGGGAGGGAATACATGCGCCGGGAGTTGGTTCCACAATTTGATGGTTCGGCATAAAAACGAATTGCCAAACATTTTAGTGCGGGACGGTATTGAACTGACCGTCCAACTGTGGCAACGCAGTCCGGCACGGGTGGTCCGTTGATGGAAAGGAGAGGAAGGGATAAGGTTGAATAACTCTTCAGAGCACTCACCTATTAAGATTACCTACGTTGTTTTCAATTACATATCCTCGTTTTTATAAAAATAAAATAAAACAAGTTGAGCTTTCATTGTTACATTGTGAATTCGGAATTGGTCTCGTGTCAGGCTGTCATAATTTCTCAAAACGTTATCAGCAAAAGCACGGGAAGTCACTAAATAAATATCGCGCCTTTATAATTAACGACAAATTATTTACCTTTTAGTATTAAATAAATTAATTAATCATATTTATAAATAAAATATTGAAGAGATTAATGTAAATATATAAGTTAAACTTAACTATTTATTGTCACCACTGCGTACGAGTAATTATTTTAATATTGCTGAATTTGACTTAAACAGCAGAACAATATTACTTTGATGTCAAACTCGCGTCATAGTACAAATTCATTGAATGAATAGTCACAAAGCTGCCTATAGAGAACATCTTTTACTATAATAATAAGCTAACTTTATATGTAAGGTTAAAGTAATATTGTTTTAAGAGGCTATGGTAACCCCCTAGGGCAATCAACGGGTCATCTTCCAGTGGAGCGACTCAGATCTTTTCCCATTTCAATCTTGACTTTTTCCCAAAATGGAGCGAAGTTTACGCGCTTCACCGATGTCATTCAGCTGGGCGACGAACTCTTCCAATTCAGCGTTAGTGCAAACTCTCCAGCTGCTGTCTTCTCTATTTATAGGTATCTACTAGAATCTTGTAAACATAAGCCTATGTTTTTTTAACAGAGAAGTGGTAATTGGCCACTACGATTGAGTTAATTTGGCGTGCCTGTGGTACTTGGGTGCCAAGTGCTAGCACTAACATTTGTTTAATACGCGATTTGCACGGTTGCCAACTCTTTGATAAGGGTCCGGTTTACGACGGACGATCGTCGAGTAGTTCTGTTGGTACTGACTAGATATACTGCTAACTTTTGGGGCTTTGAGTTTGGGGGAAACTTGATCTTGTTTTCGGTGTACTTAGGGCATCGGTGATTAATGATTATGTACCTTTAAGTTATGTTTTTAAAGTGCTAAGTCGTAAGTAAGTTAGCCAGGTATAAAACGTTTAAACTCTTTGTTCGTAAATTAAGTCACACTAAATTCATTTATTGATTTAAATCGTAGTACTTAAAATAACTACAAAAAAAGTGGACGTACATTTGTATTTATATGATACCTGGAGGCCTTGTTTTTGAAATAATAATTATTGGGGCAAGAAAATAACTTATTAATAATATATTGTTTTATTAAGGTGGGGAGTTGGCAGAATACTTTTAAGCCAGTGTTAACAATTACTTGATGGTCTTATACACATGACATGTTTGAATACATCGGTGAAAAAATGATGAGGTTTTTATTGCATTTTCAAAAGTCGCAATGTATTTAATTTTCGTGGCAAAAAAAACGGCTTTTTCGCTTCGAACGGGTGGAGTTAATTCTATAATAGCCACAAATCACTTCAACTGCGCAAATGTATATGTATTGACAAAGAAAAACAAATAAACAACAATGTTTCGTAGTAATTTTACGAAAATGGTTTTATAGTTACTCAGACACGCATTTTGTCATCATTAAAATAAATGAGAAGCAAGCGCATTCAAGCGTAATTATTTTAAAAATAAAGAGTGCTTTTGTAAATAAATACAGTGTAAAATTATTTATATCAACGAATTCATAGCTTATTTATTCCTTAATTCATTAATTTAATTGGACGCAGTCACGCGGAAATTATCCAATCCGTGAGATTTTAGTCGTATTTGCTACACAAAATTGTTTTGTTTATTCTGCGTATTTTGCTACTTGCGGTTTGGACAATTTCAGAACAATAACGTCTAATTTTACAAAAAAAGCAGCCTTTCCGTTTACTTAAATAATAAGCTTATGTATTGTTTTTATTAATTAAACTTACTGTTCTAAAATTCGCACCCTCGGTGTAATAAGACCACATCTTCAAAATGATAACTTCTCAGTAGAGTCATCAATCAAATTAGTATATAACTTTTTGGCTTAACTAGAACAGTTGTACAATTTCACGTATATACGTAATTTGTTTCGTGTAGTTCGTATTTTTTTGGCTTTCATGTCGCTTTTGACGTTCACATCTCACTGTTAACTTATGTATGTTAGGCATTGACTTAGTGCTAGGCTATTAAATCAAAAAGTGTATTTTTCGGAATCGATGAAAAACAAATTACTCACTCGCCATGAAATATTGATAAAATGTATCTATAGTTAAAAGTTCATTACAAACTTCTCCTATCTTCTTTTGCCTGGCATTATTCCCATTTATTTGGGGTCGGCCCTTCTGGTCACTCGTCTCCAAGACGGTCTGTGGTCTTAACTGTTGCTCTCGTAAATCTTTATTAATAAGGGATATCCATGTGAGGTGGGGTCTACCACGTCCCTTGATCTGGTTACTCATGTCAAGGACTTTCCTTGTCATATGATTAGGCGGTCGTCCCATCCGCACGTCCCGTCCGCACTCGTGAAACCATACAGCCTGACAGAGCTATGGTGGATCTCTCAAACGTCTATGGTGGATCTCTCGCCAGACTCTCGACAGTCTCTCGTCCTTGTACTTCCCTACACCTGGACACGCTAGGTCCTATTATACAACGCCATTGATAATGCTATGTCAGCCTCTGAGTACTGGTCCTTACAAATATGAACGTCAGAGTCGACATGCTAAGACGAATAAGACGTCTACGCCATTTTGTACAGGGATAAACAACTAAGTTTGATGTTATGATGCGATACGTCCGTTCACTGTATCTAACACCCCGATATCTAACGTCGTAATGGAGGGAGTTGGCGGGCCACACCGCCCCTTTTTTTCTGTACACCACAATTATAACAGGGGCGCGAATTATCTTAGCCCTCAATTTCTGTCTAAATATACTAAAATGCTTTGTTTCCCCAATTCTGCCTCCTGTAAGGTCCGTAATGGCCGTAATGATCGTAGTGAGGTACGTGTTCATGGTGCTCGTGGTGACGATCCTTCTTCTCTACAAGGAAAGACACGAACCAGCCGAGGAAGTAGCCAGCTTTGTGGATGACGCACCAAAGGACGAATGCGTAGACCAGTTTAAGAATGAATATCTTCTTAATTACTATGTCGGCGAAGTATACTGAAAGAAAAAAATATAGAAAATTAGTTTTTGAAACAAACAATCTGTATCCGTGTAATAAGGCCTCTGCAAAATGACAAATTTCAGGAATTTCAGTAGGAGGTGAAAGATTCTACGAATGAAATCGATTACTTTTGTTTTATTGTAACAAGTGACAGGACGAACAAGTCGTGCGCCTGGCGGTAAGCGACACGCCTGCCCATAAAGGTTACAGTGCCAGTCATACCTTCGAATCGCTAAAATATATTTTTTTAATTCTATGTTTTTCACAGTAAATACATACAACGGAACAAAAAAGTGGTAATATACAATAGTAACTTCTTTAACCTGTCACGCGTCCTAAAGACACACGATGTTCCTAATGATTTTGGTAAAAAAAAGAATTTAAATAATATAGGAAATGAAACTATTTTTCCGGATTTAAATCGCGTATATTTGTTTTTTCAAACAAACCGACGTTTCGGGCCCTTTACAGGTCCCATGGTCACGGTTGACTGAGGTGGTACAGTCTTCAACCAGTTATGTCTAATATTGATGCAAACCATCCAATTTTTTCACTATAGTTACAATAGCTATTAATTAAATACCTTATTTTTAATTTTACAAAGAAAACATTCCAATTTACGCTACATTAAGTTTTACAAATTATTTTATTGAATGAATTTTTATTAAGTTCAATTTATTATTAATTAATAATAGAAATTAGAATAAATTAAAACATTAATTAGTACTGCAGTCTTATGTCTGTTTGAGATTTTTCATTAGAGGAAACCAGAATGGTTAGAGACACCGTAACTGAAGAACAGACTCGCAGTTGGTTTTAAGAGGTACGGTGTCCCGCTTACCTACTCTTATTTGTTCCAATCAAGCATACATATTTAAAATACACAATCCACAAATCGAAGGAAGGCATCGTTTTCATTCCCCGCATGGTTGGCCGGTTTGGGATATCCGAAACTAAATCGCGACACCAATCCTTTGGTTACAAAAATGTACTAGCATCGGAACCGCCACATAGTTTACCCGTTCTACTTACTTTGGGTTTGGTATATGTACAAGGAAAACTTGTAAAATCAATTTATGACTTTAAAACCCAATTAAACTTACTGAAATTAAAATACAACCCAGAACAGTACACAATAACGTCCAAACTGCCGTGATTTGTGTTCCCGGCGAAATGGGAATGTCCGGCATTCTGTTACAATTTCGTGACGATTGTAACGAGGCACGTCGTTACCGTCGTCAGGCGTCCTGCGGTTTATTCCCCCGATGTTGCCATTTGATTATACGTCGTAAAAGTTATTTGTTACATGAATAGGCAAAGTCTTCGTCATCAACCTATATACGTTACACCGCTGGACACTGTACCGTGTAATTTTAGGCATTTATAATAGGAATACATTTTTTTGTCTTTCGGGACAGTCCCATATTATTCTACATAAGTTTTGTTTATAGTACCCCTCCCTATCAACGTGTTGGTTATCCGGGAAGGGCACTATGACCATAGGGACCATCTAAGTCAGGTCCTAATCCTGGATCAGCACAATTGCACGTACTTCATCCGGTTCTCTGTAAGGCTAGTGCCTTAAGTGAGCCGCCCCGGTTTCACGTACAGCACCAACCCTATTTTCCAGATAGGTACCGGACCTGTAAACACGCTCACTTCCCGTCGCACTCCGCACGACTAACGGTTGCCACCGCAGAGCCGACTACCAAATCTCCTCATTGGTGACGGAGCTGTAAGGCACGCTCACTTTCCGACGCCGAATGATCGGCGTCTCTCCACTTCCCAGATTCTTACGCGGCCGGAGGGACCGGAAGATGTCTAGCTCATCCTCTACTAGTTCTCCGGGCTAGTGCCGGAGATGCCAAGTGGCAGTGACCTGCGACTAAGTCCGGACATAGCCACCGACTTAAAGGGCAACTCACGTGGCTCGCGCGTCTCCTCGCCTCAGGCCCTCAACTAGACCGCTACTAAGACGCGCTAGCAGCGCGCGGGACGAACGCCACGGCCACACACTACCGGAGCAGAAGAACGTGTTCGTCCCTGCAGCTAACTACAAACCCCGGCGAGTCCATACCCAAGTCCGGGTCCGCCGGAGACGCCCGTGAGGATATATAACTGGCGAAGGGTCAAGACCCTCGAGCACGGCAAGCCATCGAGCCCGTAGTCTCTCTGGAAAACCCTGTCTCTCTGATCGGTAGTTAGGGACAGTCGTTCGGAACAGGCTAAGACGTCTAATTGGCCATACTAATAATATTATAATAACAACGCGCGCGCTCATAATCCCCCACTAGGAAAACCTTGTGTCGCGGGTGCCATGGTCACACACATAGACAACCACAAATTACACCCAACTCACGAGAGAAATAAATGTAGGCCATACAAATATTTCTCCGGATCCGGGAATCGAACCCGGGACCTCTGCATAGCAGACCGTTCGCCATGGAGGGATTTTGTCCAATATTTTAATCTTTTGACATTTTTTTTGCGGAAAATCGTTGTCATTACCATGGCCATTTTGAACTTTTTTTTTTATTTATTAAGACTTTGGCAAAGCCATCAGCCTAAACATGAAGTTTAATTATGTTTCTGTAAATATGGCCGCCACAAAGAGGATAGGCAATTTGAGGCGGCGTGCTTGGATTGACTCGGGATTCCTTAAAACGGGCCGATACGGGTATTTTAGTTCGAGATTCGATGCGACCCTAATGCTCGTATTCCAGAACTCTACTCAATGCTCAAATTAGGATTTGAGCAGACTTGAGTATGATATCAAGCACTGGAAATACGACCCTAAGGGCAAGGCCTTGAGTATGATTTTCAGTGTTCACTGCAATACTCAAGTCCTGACTTGAGTATTGAGTAGAGTTCTGGAATACGACCCTAAGACTCGGAGTGGCATTGTAATTTTTGTAAATAGGCGTGTCGCGTTCCACTACACTAGTGGTACGACATGTTCGTCCCGTCATTTAATATCATATTTAAAAAAATTTAATTATATACTGTTGAGATTTTTTTTGTGATAATCCATTATTATTATAAAGATCGAACACATGGAAAAATCTCTAACTAGATGTCACTAGCGGCGCTGAAAAATTCAGTACGAAGATCTTTAACAAAAAACACAGGAGAATATCTACAACTCGATAAGTTGACCTGTAGCTCAGTTGGTTAGAGCACCGCTACGGTACAGCGTGGTCATGGGTTTCTAGTCCCATCGGATCATATAAATTTTTCTGCGTTCGATCTTTATATTAATAATCATACGTAAATTATATTTGAAAATTATGGCACAAAATCATAACAAAATGCCTTTACGAATACAAATGTGTCATATGAACCTTGCCGTGAATATATATGGGATATCTAGTCCCGAAAAACAAGTCGAGAACACAAGCTAGTAACACTGAATTGTTTATTCGTAACGGATTTAGCAAAGGATAGGAAAACTGATTAATGAGATCATGGACCCGTTTTATAACGTTATTCGTCCTACTGTAAAACTCGAATATTTCAGAGGAAATTGTCAAAACATGTAGAACAAAACTCACCGAACAGTTCTATTGCAAACTTTTTCTTTTTTTTCCCTCGCGATTCGATGTTTTGATTGTGCTCAAAAGCGTCACTTAATGCTATTAAAGAAAATATGCACAAAATTGTTAATGTTTTTGAAAGCATTTTGAAAGCTTTCCTAATTTAAATAAATTCTTAAAAAGTATACGAGTAAACTTCACGTCACTACACCCTTGTGTTTTTTTAATATTTTTTTTTAAACGCGGTTGCAACAGCCAGTCACTTCAATACCAATTTTTAATATGCACGTATTTTTGTAGTTACTTTCTATTTTATTAAACTGTTTTCAGTACGGATCCAAGCAATGGCAGTGACATAATGAGCTCTGTCTATCCGCCCGCCAATTCGAGACGTTACGCTAACGAAGCGATAATTCTACAACACCGTATAGCTTTCCAAGATTCGCCTAGGCGAGAGCTCCAATGAAGCTGCTCGCTAAGGACTCTAAATTACTCTAATGAAATTACGTTGAACTTGACAATGGTGTAAATTTTTGTAATATTCCCATTGGAAAGTAAAATGTGTAATAGTGAAATTTGTGAAGACGAATAGCATTGTTGTTTTGGTACATACTTTGCAAGACAGTGGACAATACAAACATCACTTACCGTGGAAGACAGCGTGACACTTAGCACAGTCGGTATTAAAAACCGCTGTCACTCCACCAATTGTGTGTTCACATTTCTTCTCTGATGGACACGAGATGGAACGAAACATGAGAGTAGGGATCGCACACAATAGGTGCGTAAAATGTGTCAACTTGAAGGAAAACGCCTTAACAGATGGCGTTATGATCTTGGCTTAACATCGCGAGACAAGGAAAAGTCCACCAGTAAGAAGGCCTTTCCCAAGCAATGGCCACTAAAAAAAAAGCTTCTCACAATATAAAGCACATACACAATGTCACACTTCACGCAGATAAAATAGGGGTTACATCACTTGTTTTCCATTTCAAATTAAAAATTTCTATATGACTTTTTTGTGACGCCAAGTGACGGGACGAACCAGTCGTGCTCCTGGTGGTAAGCGACACGCCTGTCCATAACAGTTGCAGTGCCGCTCAGATATTTAAATGGCAAAAGTGTGAGGGGCACTGCCACTACGCCCGTCACCTTGAGACATGAGTTGATAAATCCCATCTACCTGTAATTTCACCAGCACCCTTACCCTTCAAAAGCGGAACGCAGTAATGCTCATATTACTGCTTGGTGGCATTATTTCCCTGGACAAACACGTTCACAAGGAGCTCTACTGCTACTGACTCTACCCTAACCAAAACCCACAGAAGAGGGTCGAACCAGCTCGGAAACTGCCTCCGTGGCCAAACTGTCACCATGCCGGACTGCCACGCAGAGGTCCCAGGTTCAATTCCTGGGCTGGGAGAAATAATTGTATAGCCTACATTTATTTCTCTCTTGTGTGTGTGTCCATCGTTGTTATTATTATTATAAAAAGAAAACTCAAACAGAAATGATTAATTCAATTTTTTTTTTAATACAATGCCCAGGTATTCTATACAATGCCTGGGTAACGAATGTGTAATAGTTAAAGAAACATTAACCATTATATACATTGCCTAAAGAATCCCTGAATTATACATATTGACGTTAACATACATATCTATCTACCAATCTGAACACAGTACATGCCAATCCGTAGACTCTGAACCCACTCACCTGTTCAAAACTATAAATAGCACGTTAATTCATTGCTATATTACTCAACTCTTTACTAATGACTAACAGAAAAATGTCGTAATCGTGGACGGGCATTCAATCTGTAGCTACAAGTACTCGCCCTTTTAGGAAATGGAAATGAAATATGTTATGAATTTCCTCATAAGAATGAAATTCATGCAAGTTGAATATGTCTTCGTTATCAAATCAATTCTGCGATTTTCCGAGTCGCATTTCACCTCAACGTTCACTATAAATTCCTTTCCGATTCGGCTGAGACCTTTTTTGACGACCGTATCTGGTACCAACCATTAATGGTAGAACCCCGACATATCATTAACGTTTTTCACGAATGTATGTAGATTATCTTTTCACCAATTTTTTAGAAGTAATTATGTAGTGTCTGTTGTTACTTTTCAATTGAGATTTTGATGGTTCGAATTCCGGTAGCGACATCTATGATTTTAATTTCCAAGTTAAAGACATTTTTCAAATTAGCAGTAATATCTTCTGCTTATGTGAAGAAAAACATGATGTCTGCATGTCGAAGAGAGTTTTTATGAAGCTTGAAAGATTTATGCTCAGCGTAGGACGAATAATAGGTTGCCATGGTGACGATGATAAGTTTGCATATTCATTGTTGTATACTTTTTTGTAACAGCAAAGCTCATATGAGCCTACACCCAAACCGTATTTTTTTTCTTGAATTGTGTGAAAATTTTACACTCTATGTATTTGAGAATTCCCTCTTAATAATCCACTTTCAACGCAGGGCGTGTAACGTTATAAAACAGGGTTTTTGATCTCATTGTTCAGGTTTACCACCCTTTGGTAAATTCGTTATGAATAAATAATTCAGTTGTATTAGCCTCTGCCTTCGAATGTGTTTCTCAGGATAACATATATATGTACATTAGTTATGCATATTCAAGTCATGTTAGCACGACAATGATCTATGTATGGTGTTTACATTTACATACGCAAAGGTATTTTGTCGTGATGGTGTACCATTATTTTCAAAAGTAACCGTTCAATTTTTAAAGAAAAAGTTTTTACGTAATTCCATTCATAAATTATCATGTTCTATTTGTAGTTGTTGTGTAAAACATTCATTTCCGGTAAAATTGTAAATGACGCCCATTAGTGTTACAAGGGGCAATATGTTATTCTTTTTCATTGCTAAAAAATCGATAAAATAAATCAACAGAGTATTGGTACTTTTTATTCTTGTATTCTGGCGTAGTAACTTTTGTAAATGTAAGAAAAATTGTTCATAAGTTGTTGGACAGCCTTGTAGACAAATAAATAAATGTTACTGACAGAATCGAGTCGGTGCAACACTAGCTCGACTCTGCATGCGACTCGTTACCGCCCTATTTCTATGACTTTGACGTATCCGTACGCGCGTTTAAAATCTTCTAGTCTTCTTCTTTTTAATTTTCATCTAAACAGTTTAGAGTTTAAGCACACCCCGGATACACCATACAACACTCGAAAGTTAGTTTCCTACTACTACTAAATACAGCAAGGTGCTATCTGCACACAAGCGAATGTGTGCGTGAAGTGACAGGGTTACCCATCACTATTTCGTAGTACTACGTTACGTAGTCAGGGCGGCAACGTAGAGAAAATTCAAACGCGAGTATGTTATCTATGTTCTACTCATATAATGGTAATAATTACACAGTATTATATATTATATTTTCATTAGTTCACTAACTAGAATAATATTGAAGATTTATTTAAAAATATATGTGAAAAGCACTTAAAATGTTATATTTTGGACAGGTACTTTTAAATAAGGTAACCAAGGTATTTGAAATTGCGTGTCTAAGTAAACTTGGACACGCAATTACCTTATTAATAATTAGGTATATCCATTAGGTAATATTTATTGGCAATACCAATTGAGAATTCGAGAACCCTTGTCTACTTGCTCACGAAGTTATGACGTCTCGTTATATTGATATAATAAATCTGAATCATATATAGTATTACTCTTCACTAAATACTTGAAATAAGCAATAACTGAATGAGTATTTTTATTTGTTTCATTTCATCTTTCGATAAACGAAAGAAACTCGTCTCTTTATTCCGTTTAAATGATGATAAACAGCCGTACACAGCACAACTCACGACCATTATAAATAGTAACGTAAAATGATATTATATATTAACATACAAGTTTCGTAATGAATAAATGAAAACTATATTCAATTATCAAAGCCGTCTTAGCACGAAAACGGCTTGCAGACAACCTTGTTGTAGTTCAGTCAATGTGACCGTCAATGTGCGGGGTGTGGTGCGTTATCTAAGCTAGGGAGGAGCGGAGAGTGTCCGTTCTTTTTTGTTCTCTGGTTTAAGTATATTTAAAACGAAACTGACACTGCATCATGCCTAGTGGCGGCGGGGGAAAAATGTCTATATGATTTTTTTTATGACACCAAGTGACGGGACGAACAAGTCGTGCGCCTGGTGGTAAGTGACACGCCTGTCCATAACAGTTGCAGTACCGCTCAGAGATTTAAATCGCAAAGATCTGAGGGGCGTTCCATGGACGAACTCTTTCACAAGGATCTATACTGCTACTATATAACTGAGTAAAATATGTTTTCTTTCGTATTATAAACGAAGTATCAAGTTATATTGGTGGTTCGAAGGGAAGCTCGATCGTTCATTTTTAGGGGCAAGCGATTATCCCATCGTAAGCGGCGGACAGATACCGGTCAGGTGATTTATTACAAAGTTTGCAGAGATTCCTAGTCTATGAATGAATACGCTACAGAGGTCCAAATATACGCACCACTGAAGATATTTTGATTGAAGGGTCGCGTGCTAAGCTGTGAAAATCTTGGGTAATTTTCA